CATTGGTCTATAGGTCAGAAATTGCGTTGCAAGTTGTATGGGAAATTGCCTGGTTAACTGATAGAAAAGCCAGTGAATAATTCTAAGTAAACCGCGGCAAACTATATTTTCACGCACATGTTTTATTAACGAAATGTATACTCTTATTGTTTAAATTTTACAGCCCTTGAAAATACCTGCGCTGTAATGTTGCTGCTAAGATTGCTTAGCAAAAAAATGAGCAAAGAAGGCAGTGATCTAATGGAGATTCTGTGTGTAAGTATTATATGCATCAATTAATGTATCGATTATCGCATATAGAAAATACGAAAAAGAGCTCATAACATATCTCCTCATTGCAGTATTTATTACTATACCATGTTCTTTGACATTTAGGAAGACGACGACTTAGAAGCTGAAATAAAAGCCAAAGCGTACCCTAGAATAATTGGCGTTGGAGAAAATCTTCTCAAGCTTGACAAGGCAGTGATATGTATAGAAGGGAAAGAACTTGTCGACGTGACTTCCCGTCCCATGGACACGGTTTTATTTTCTTTATACGCCACGTATTATATTTTTTCTATCGCATATCCTGTTGATCACAAGGATCTATTTCTTTTTATAGATTCGATTATTGTTGGCATTCAACAGAATGCATCAAGCAGAATTAGCTTGCAAAAATTTGTTAAAGCCTTAAAGAAGTTACTGTAACTTACAGTAGTAGCATGCAGTAGCGTTAGTTTATACCGCGTTTGTTAAATGCGAAGGGGCTGTTTATATATGAGATATGTGGGACGTTTCCTGTACTCAAACCGGGATCCCGTTCATCGTCCTGTCCCGACAAACGTCCCGTTCCGCCTCCCATATAAACAACTCCTAAGCCTGCATGTTTTTTTTATATATCAATTGTAAAAAAGATATAGTTTTTTTTTGGAAGCAAATAAATTCAACTTTATGTTCGCAATGTTCTCCTAAATTAATGGGTTAATTTTTACTCCATTATTATTTTACCCTTTACACTGTACCCTCCCAAATAGGGTAGTTTTTATCCCTTGATAATCCTAAATTTTGGGGGGTAATTTTTAACTCTTTTCAAATTACCCCTGCAGAACGTTACCCATTAATGATTTACCCCTTTAAATTATACCCACAAAAACCGGGGCATTCTGTGTAACTTTTAGAGCCCCTTACATTATAGGGTAGTTTTTACTCCCGAAAATTTACAGTGTACGCAGGCTAGGAATAAAGAAACCCCGTTATTTGGAGATACCGTCATTTATTCTTCTCTTGTTTAACATCTCTTTCCTTTCACCTTCTCCATATAACCTGACTTCAATTAAATCATTAGGTGCAGTGATTTGTGGACGTCATTTTCGTAATCCTGTTTCACTATCCAAATTGATCATGGAGCAATCACCTCATTGTGCCTTATGTGGAGATGGAGCTCTGGAATTTGCTATGGAAAAAAACTTTCCTATTTGTGATCCCGAAGACCTAAAAAGCCCATACGCTATTGTAATTAACCACACAGATTTCAAGGAGTATGTAAAGCATCACTATATGGGAAATCCAGTAAACGATCACCCAGACGACCGAGAGACCAACCACACTGTATCTGCTGCTGCTATGGATGGACAAAATGCAAAGGTTAGGTTTTGTAATTGTAATTTTGAAAACCATCACTATAAGAGAAATCCAGTAGAAGCTCGCCCAGACGAAGAAGTTGTTTATAATATGATAAATGGACAAAATGCGCAGGTTAAGTTTTGTAATTGTAATTTTTTAAATCATCACCACAAGGGAAATCCAATAGAAGCTTGCCCAGACGATCCAGAGACCAACGACACTGTATCTGCTGTTGCTATGGATGCCATGGGCCACTTAGCGTGTGCGACGTCAACAGGTACATGCAAAACTTCACTTCTGAACATTCGTTTTAACTTGGAAATCATGTAATAATGTAATCAATTAACGAATTCGTCATCAACAGCAACATAACGATCCTCATCATCAGAAGCATGAACAACAGCAGCAACAACAGCTACAACAACAGCTACAACATCAGCTACAACATCAGCTACAACATCAGCTACAACAACAGAAGCTGCAAGGGAAAAAAACAACAACAAAATGGCAACAACATGCAAAACAGTTATAAAAACAGCGAAAATAGCAACAAAAACATTACAACAACAACAACAATAACAACATCAACAGTCGACAACAACAGAAAAACAACAGCAACAACAGCACAAAAGAAAAATCAACAGCGGCATTAATAACAACAACAAAATTACCACCACAACAACTACAACAAGAAAACAACAAAAACAACAACAACAACAACAACAACAACAACAACAACAACAACAACAACAGCAGTAAAGGCAGCAGTAGTAACGGCAGAGAATAGCAGAAACAGCCACAATTTTTTATTTAGGTGGTATAGCAGGAAAATTGAAAGGTCGTGTCGGTGATGCTCCGTTGGTTGGTTGCGGAGGTTACGCAAATAAAATGGGAGGTGCAACAACAACTGGAGTTGGAGAGGCGATAATGAAACTGACTTTAGCAAGAGAAGTTGTTTATAATATGGAAAATGGAAAAAATGCACAGGTTAGATTTTGTAACTGCAGTATAATTCTATTTCCCAGCTACAAAACAACGAAGAATGCAATCATTCATATCGGACGACGCAAGTGCATAAATATCCGTTGTGTTAAATTGTGCAAGATGCAGGCATAATGCAGCGCGGTAAACGCTTGTTGTTACACATTATATTTTGGCCTGCAGATATGCTTTATACCAATTCTCATTGTTTATTGTCGACGGTGACTGTTGGAGAGAGCCGTAGCTAACTCTAATGGTTAATGGTGGCCCAGATAAAAAGTTTCGGGCGGATCTATAAATTTCAGAATAATAGTGTTCTGAATGCTTATTACACGGAGATTGAAGTCCATCAGTTTACGGTTGATAATAAAACGCTTGGTAAATAAAAAATAGCTTATAAAAAACGAAATAAAAAGTCTTCAGAGTGAAACAATACAAATATTTAAATGGGCGCTAAAAGGGTGGAAGGGAGGGGAACACCCCACAGTCATCAAGTAGTCGGCAAAATATTGAATCCCAGTCGGCAAATTTTAAATAAATTTGAATAAATGCCAATCAGTTGTCAAGATCTTAATTTTATCAGCTGCTCTGTATAAATATTGCATCAGGGTATATGTTACGACTTAGTAGTGTTTACGATTGACGTACAGGGTAAAAAGAGTTTCTTGACTACTTTTTCGCACTGTTGTGACAGAGCAACTAAAATTGATAATCGAAGATTTTTTATATTACCTTCTGTTTTGCCATAGGAATCTGCAAGAAATGCTTTGGACAAAATGGAAGAATTTGACGATGGATTTGGTGGTGTAATTGCGATTGACAAAAACGGAAACTTTGGTAAGGCCTTCAATACTATTAAAATGGTTTGGGCAAGCATCAAGGACAACACTTTGGAATTTGGTATGGAACAAGATGAAGTTGACACTGAACAATTATAGATAATAAACATAAATAAGAGTGCATGAAATCTGGATTATACTCACCGTTTTGACATTACGCTTTCAAGAACGTTAACTGATATTTTACTAATTTATTTAATATTTACTTCTAATTGTGCAACATTAAGATTTATCACAGCAGTTTTTAATTGCATTAATAATTTAAAGTGATTTTGATGTAATATAATCTTTAAAAATTTCTTAGTATAACATTATGTACATTTTAATCTTGTAAATTACGCAATTCAGCTTCGGGCTGCTGTACATGTGTAATTTGTTTTCAATAAACTATTAATCTATAATGTATCTAACTATCACAATGTTTTTATCTTAAGAATGTCTATGGTATGGGAAACAGACTATTTCTGACACAGGAAAGCGTAGTTTCAAACAATAAAGAAAAACAATGGAATGCTTTTGAAAGTTTGCTTCAAAACCTTTAAAATAAAATATTTTCAGCTCAAAATACTATCAAAATGAAGAGAAACTGAGTGGTATACAGTCGAAAGAGAAAATCAACAATACGAAAGTTATCAAGGATCAAACGTACTGCATTTTTAATTAGTTTAATAATTTTTAGCGATTTGTCAACAATGCAATTTCGCTTGCCTTTCAAAGCCAAAGGCCATAAATCGCTAAAATACTGCTGTTTAGAAATTAATTTGCGTCGATAAGTAGAATTTTACGCTGTTTCTGAACAGCGGTATTTTTGTGCCAGAACCAGAGATAATTAGGCGCAGCAAAAAGTAGGTTGTGAGAGTCCGAGATTGATAATTGGGAAGAAATGTTTTTCCGCAAAAATGAAATTCAGAGAACTTTGCGGAAGCATTTGGTTCCGAACAAACTAACAAACAAACTAAAGGTACGTTTATACACACAACAATTAATCGGGCCGATTCACTCTCTAACAGAGATTTTCTTGATTGCAAATACTAGACTACACTTATAGCTACCTGAGTGAATGACACCAGAAACAGAAATTTTCTCAGGTGCATTAGTAGCAAGATCAATTAGACTACATATAGTGCATTATCAGAAATATGGGACAAGATCGCGACGGACATGCGCACTTTGACCAAATATGGCGACCAAATATTACTATAAACTATACGGGAGTTGATCAATATATCAAATTTTAGTATACTTTGTTTAAATATTTCATTGGTGCGGAGCTCGACTATAGTAGCGACACGAACAAGCAATATTTCTAAACAAAAATCGCTAGTATTGCATCGCGTCTAGCAGGTTCCTGAGAATGTTGTATTTTTACACGCAATTCGATGAATTTCATAGTGTAATTTATAGTAAACTTGTGACACAAGAGGTAAATATTCGACGAATAGACCAACATCCATTCGGACGATGCGAAGTGCGGAGCTCGCGATATATTTAATGATGTCCAAACTGTTAATTTAGCTAAATAAATCCGCTGTAATTGCCAGGGAAACTAGTTCCCGAAACGTGTAAAAGTTCGCCTTTTTACGGTTCTTGTATGTCGCCATTAAGCCATCTTAATATCCAAAAACGACAAGTTTTAATACAAATTTGAGCTGTTTCGAGCAGCCATATTTCTTGTTTATTTTGAATGACTAGATCCCAGGCTCTCACGTAAAAACACAGGGATATTTTAGGATTTTTTAGGATATTTGCAATATTTTTAGTCTTGATAAAAATTTGCGGGGTTAAAGGTCAAAGTACCGGAAGTGATCAGCAAAAACTGCAAAATATAGTTTAAAATCACAGTTTTTGGTTGAATAATACTTGAACTGGAGATTCAAAGTAAAATGCCAAGTCGTATGACTTATATTAGGCAATGTTGGGCATATAAAACGGACTTAGCCGCTGACTACAAAAGCGGGAGCAAAATGTCCCATTGTGCTATGCTATACAGTGCTGCTATGGTCACTTGCGTAGTTTTATCTATATATATATATCAGTTGTTCATGATAATTAATAATTATAGTTCATACAAAGACTTTATTTTCTTTGTTGACATTTTAGAATTTTTTCTGGTTCTAATAAATCACATGCAGTACTGTAGATCACACAGAATATACATTTCTTTATTTTCATTATCTATGGCTGTGATCAATTTTTTAAGATGATCAGAGAATTTAGATAACGCACTGCATGAATGGGTCGTTTATAAACTGTCGTACCAAGAATTGGTTTGCTATGCGGCTTTAATAACACAAACAGCTTCCATGCAGTTCAGTATGCACTGACCTGCTTACAACTTGATATTTACTGCGTAATCAAGCGCAAAATCGTATGTACGACAACGTAGGCGAGTTGTGTGCTTGATCTACACATTACAACCATAGATATCTTATATACACTAGATATATATACTAGATATACCAAGTGGTTAGCGCACTTGCCTTTCACCTCTGAGGCTGCAGGTTCGAATCTCACTAAGTACCTTCTCAGTGCGACACGAACCCAGTCCTCATGCGAAAAGAGTAAAAAGTCAACGCTCTGCCGAAAGCCGTGGGTTTTCCCCGGGTACTCCGGTTTCCTCCCACAGGGAAAGTTGACAGGGTGGGTTAGGTAAAGAGGGCCCACAGTAATTGGCATATGCTGTTGTGGTGACCCTGCCCTAGTTGGCAAAGCTAAATAAATAAAAAAAATAGTGCATCTCATTATTCTGCAATTCAAAAATTGAGGCCGTGATTGCAGACTCAGGATATTCCCATGAAATGAGAAGATTCGTATGTTTTCTATTTCTTAACCAGGTAACTTAAACATTAAGTTAAACCTATTCCAAATACATTTTCAAACTATTCAAATGATGAAAGTTATTGTTGTTTTTTAACGGCGTTTAATAGCGAGTGGGAAACTCCAACATGGCCGCCATCTATTCAAATGGGGGTAACCGCTGGAATATTCTTGGCTTCAATTTTACTAAAAGAGATGCGCTATCTAGTGTATATAAGATATCTATGATTACAACTCAAGTTGTAAGTATGTTGCATGCAGAAGTTGTGTAATGTAAATCGACCTTTAGAAGTTGGACAACTGAAGGGTTCAAATAAGATTCCAGGAGCTCAATAGACCTTACAATCACACGCTGTGCTGTATCCCTTTTGCTCTTTCGCTTCATAAACAACGAAATACCAGGAAAACCATTTTATTTCCTTGAAACGCCAACGTGTCACGCGCACTGGTTTAGAAAAATCCATTAATCACCATTGAATTATTCACACTATACTATACGTTTGCAGCCGCATCTTGCTTTTATTTAGGTAAAGAAAACGATTCTGAAACTACATATTTCACTACATGCATGTATGTCTCTATGCAAAAAGCTATGTCTATGTATATTTATGTAGCTAGTAAACTTTAGTATACCAACAACTGTCAAACGATTTCACTGTCAGTGCGAGTATATCTTTTCTGTTTTTGTTTCAAAGCAAAAATACTTTAGTTCATACATTATAAACTAAAACATAATTAATTCATTGTTATATAGAGATAATAATTAAGCGGCTGATGTACTAAATTCCTGCCTGCTGTGAACATGCATGCTGTGCACTAAAAACCATTTTGCTTATTTTTGGTGCATACACAACGAAATACCTGGAAAAGCATTTCATTTCGTTCAAGCGCCAACGCGTCGCATTGGTATAGAACCACCGTTAAATTCACACTATATATACTATACGTTTGCAGTCGTATCCTGCTTTTATTCAGGTAAGGAAAACGTTTCTGAATTAAATACATATTTCAGTTCAAGATGTATGTATGCATAGCTTGTAGTGAACGTTAATTTATATATAGCATGCCAAACGTCTGAGGATTTAATTGTCAGTGCGAGAATCTCACCTCGAAAGGGAAAGAGAATATCTTTTCCGGCTGTTTTCGTTTGAAAACGAAAATACGTATACTTTTCTGTGCGCTTAAATATTCAAACATTGTGCGTTAAAACGTAAAAGGTTCAACTGATTAATTTATTGTTATAGATATAATAAGTGGCTGATATATTACATTTTGATGAACAAGCTTTCGTTCCTAGGGATGCAACTACCTGAAAATACACAATGAGAATTTCGACGTTTCGAGCGAAGGCCCTCGTAAGGAGAATTTCGACGTTTCGAGCGAAAAGCATAAAGAGTAAGGAGAATTTACGTTAAGGTGTAAGGAGAATTTGGACGTCTTGAGCAAAAACGACGCTTTTATAAAATTATCTTTATATACAGTTAAATGTCATGCACCCGTATTGAAATTCCTGTCTGACGTCGATTATACAGTCTAGTATATAGACATTGCTTATAAACTGCATTGTTGAATTTGCGCGATATAAATTAATAAATGTTATGTTATGTTATGTTATGTTATGTATAGATTTGAATAAGCAAAATACCTGGAAAACTATTTCATTTCGTTGAAACGCCGACGTGTCGCATCAGTATAGAAAAATCCATCAAGTACCTGCATTGAACACCGATCATACGTTTGCAGCCGTATCCTGCTTTTACTTATAAGTAAGCAAAACGTTTCTGTGCATTGCCTTTTTATGTTCACATATATGAGCCAGGTTTGCTGGTGCGGAAGCTCGTCTGAGTGGGATGAGCGTGTTCATCACTGTTTTTATCCACTTACTCATCCATGAGATCAATGATGATCTTCCTTTGTTTTGTAGGAGCTTTTGTCCAACTGACGTGATGGCAGATGGTGTAGCAAGCACGAAGGACGTGATGGGACCACCCGGTACCAATGAGTGCATTAACTGTCTAATTTGAATTTTGCTAACTTTCAGTTCAGTGTTATAGATTGCAGCGACTATGCATATTGGTTAAATTGTAGAATAGCCGCACTTTACACATATTATCCGATACGAACATCAACAATTACAGCTAAAATAGATGAAAATTATCAACTGTAAATTGCATATATACATTTATTAAACCGGGCAAGGAACAGCTGCGAAAAACGAAAGTATAGTCCTCTGCATGGCAGCAATCAAACCTGCGGAGTGCGCCCCTTCGATTCCGGTGTAGCGCTTTAAACAACTCAAAGTTCATATACAGGGTACTTATTCAAATAGTCGATCAAATTTGGTCAAGAATAACATACATATTCGTATCTTGTCCTTATGTTTCTTTCCGAGTTTAAATGAACAAGGAAAAGGGCACGGATTAGAATAGCCAATCGTTTCTCATCCAAGCGTGCATAAAGTCAAGGGCGCAAATGTGATCAACTAGAGTTTGGCGCAGAATACGGTATATGGTGCATCATATCGAGTGTATTAGATCGATTTCAGACTGCGTAATCCTCGTATGCCGAACGATAATTAGATGTGACGGTGGAGCGACACAAGAAGGGCGGTGAAAACCAATAAGCCTATTTTTGAAAAATTACAAGATGGCTAATCCAATGCTATATATATATATATATATATATATATA